CTTATAGTTCTCCATTCCTCGCTACGGACCAAGCCATAAAACAGAGAGTGAGGCTGCTCTCAGTAGCGAATTATCCACTTTGTTACGGACCAGGCCAAATTAGAGAGTGAGGCCGCTCTCAGTAACAAAGCTATCTTTTCAAACATATAATAAATAAAAATAAATAAACAAAACCTTACACTTTTCCTTAATCATGGAGGCGTTTAACCAATCTGCCCAAAATCAAGAAGAAATCGGTCAAAACATCAAGAAGTTACACACCAATATGACAAAAGATTCACAGTCCCGGAAGACGCCAGAGTATATACAAAAGCGTCTACACACCCTCGAATCGCTTTGGAAGAAGATCGAAGAAAATGATGACAAAATGGAAGAAATAAAAATACCCAATCATTCGTATTACACCTCAAATTATTACCTGCAATTACAGCAAGTATACAACGATGCTCTAAACTACATAAAAGAGTGTCAAAAAGCACAACATCCCGAAACCAGAGTACAAGAAGCAACTGAAGATCCAGAACAGATCCGAAGAATAAAAAGGCAGGAAATAAGAATCAAAGAAATGGGTAAACTAATCGACAAAGTAAAACTGGAAATGGTGCAATCTAAACAAAAAAGCACTTATGAATATCTTCGACGTCAACTTCAACAACAAATGGACAGCATCTCAAGATTGGAAGAAGATATCCAGGTAGAAGAAACAAGATTTCAAGCCCCATACTTCGAAGAAGATGTATATTCCAACCTTCAGACGGAATTTTTTGCCGTAATGGAAGAACTAGAAGACATCATTTCTAACCCACCTTCCTCTGAAACACGACATATCCCTCAGAACAACACTGCTATACCTCTTCCACAAATAAAACTTCCCGTATTCGATGGATCCTATGACCAATGGATCACCTTCTATGACCTTTTCCAAAAAATAATCCATGCTAGTATATCCCTAACAAAAGTCGAAAAAATGCAATATTTGAAGACGTACTTGAAAGGAGAAGCTAGTCGAATAATCCAACACCTGCAAATATCCGATAGTAATTATGATGCAGCGTGGACACTTCTACAAAAACGTTACCAAAACAACCGATTAATTTTATCAAAACTACTGGACATTACTCATAATTGTTGAAACTGTATTTTTTTTGACATTGAAAGCTGTCAACGGCGTTATTTCGGCGCCCACTTTGATTGTAATTAGCTGATTTAAGACTTTCAAAAAACGCATTTTTCTCTTATACGTTGCCGTAGCAACGAAACAAAAAACAATACAAACAAGCTAATATCGCCAAAAAATGCGCCATGATTAATAAAGAAACTTGTATTTGAAACATTTTTCTTTAAAACTACAAATGGCGAAGTTATTGGCTATATTCCAGACATTTGACACACCCTCTATAATTTTAATAAATAAATAATATGCCTCGATTTTCCAGAATCACCACTTCACCAATCCGCGTAGCTAACGATTGTATGGATTTCGACGAAATGTTTCGTCATATTATATTTTTCGTTCCACTAATTTCTTTTATTTGTAATAAAAAAATTATTATTTCAACGTTAGTAACTAGGGGGCTTAATATACTTATATTAATTATAAATATATATATTATATTATAATACAATTATTTTAATAAATTAAATATTTTATTTATAAATATGGCGCCATCTTTGAGAGTATGTCCTGAACTATTTTTATGTTAGAGTGTTTGCCTATGTCAGCGGTTTATTTATTATTCCATATAATTTCGTAGTTCCAAGTTTTCTCCTAATTAACGTAACAAAATGTGTTGATATGACCGGAAACGGTTTCTGCGGACTATTCTGCTTCAAGTAAAGGTATTTCCCGAATGATTTGTGCCTTACTTCGTTTTTTATAACAACAAGACAAAGTGGCCAAAAATTACACCTAACTTTGCGATTTTTTTTGTTAATAATAATAATTTTGGTGATTGGTGATTTTTACACGAAAGCCCTATATGTCTACTTTCACCTCATACTAAAAGTTTTACTTCAATTGCTTTCATGCGCCCTAAATCTTGGAACTGCTGAATCCGTTTCTTATGACCTGTATTTTCCCTGCTGTTGATGCTATTCAACTAATTATTATTATTATCATATTGAGTAATTTTGAATTTTTACCTTACATGTTCCTGCAGGACAATCACTTTGTCCTTATAATTGTGTGTAGGTATCAATTCCTACTTTATTATTGATATTTAACTCATCCTTATCTTCCTTTGGGTTGAAATTTTATGGATTGTAGTTGAGTATCTTTAATAGTTATAAATTCCTAAAAAGATAATTTATAATTAAAATTTTTGGAAGTTCGATATTTCTAGGTTATGTTACTTGTCATTTTTTCCCCAATATTAATTTTATCAAATACCTAATTTAAATTAAATTCCAACTCCATTTATACACTATTATACACTTTATTATTAATTTTATTACGATTTATTTAAACAAATTAATTTTTAAGGATTTATTAAAAATTATTGATTTGTTGACGTGAGATACCAACATAAAAATTATTAAGCACGAATCACCCCGAAAATTTTTTTCAATTTCAAATTTAACTCATAATTTAATACAAATCAACATTATATGCATGTTTATTAAGCTTTATATTTAAAATTTTTATATTTGATTTATAAATTATTTAAATTTTAACTTTTATCTATGAACTAACTTCATGTTTGTTTTTGACCTAAAAACAACATAACCTCAAAATAAACGTCAAAAAGAAAATATAAAAATATCTTAATTAAACGTAAATGAATCGTTATAAATTAATCAATTTTTTAAATCCAATCAAATCTAATTTGTTACTTAGATTAAATTATTCGACGAAGAATTGTTGGAAATGTGGTGTATTTCAAGAAAACACCCAAAACCTTTTTTGCCCCGCTTGCAAAACGATTCAAAACCCCCCAAAAGAAGCTAATAACGATTATTTTAACCTTTTTAACCTTAATTTTAAGTACGACATTGACCAAAAATCATTAACTCAACATTACCGTAAGATGCAAGCAGTTTTACATCCGGATAAATTCACTAATAGGAGTGAGGATGAAAAGAAAATCTCTGAAGAGTACTCATCTTTGATTAATAAAGGTTATAATACATTACAAGGACCATTAAGTCGAGCTTTACACATGTTATGGTTGAAGAATGAGGTTATCGAGGAGAGTAATAAAAGTGATGATCCAGAGTTTTTGATGGAAGTTATGGAATTAAATGAGGAATTGGAAGAAGCTGATGGAGAGGAGAAGTTGAGGAAAATCGAGGCTAAAAATAAGGAGATGTTAAACAATGTTTCAATTATGATTTCGAAATGTTTTGAGGAAAACGATGTGGAACAAGCTAAGAAAGCAATTATTAAAATGAAATATTATGATAGTTTATCAAAAAGGATACATGATTTATTGAGAGAAAAAGGAATTTTAGATTAAAATTATTTATTAAATTAATAAATTTTATAAAGTACTTGTTGTATAATAAATAATCTTATAAATAAACCTATTTCTTATTAGCAATTTTTAAGATAAAATCAACTAAACAAAGCACCGCAACAACCAAACAAAAAATACCCATTATAACCCAAAAAGTCGACGCATCCGTCTTATACCCCTTATAATTAGAATGCAAAATAAATATAAAGATACAAGACACGAAATGGTACGCAAATCCAAAGAATGTTAACAACATCTCCAATAAATCTTGGGTTTCATCGAAAATGTAGGTGATTATAAACGCTAAAGAGACCCATGTGTAGCCGATGATTGCGATTACGACGGTGTCGTGACTTGGTTGATCATCAAACGCTTTTATTGGGGGGTCCACGTACCAAAGAATCCAAGCGACGAGACAAATTATCTGTTTAATTAAAATTAAAAGCGTGTCGGTTAGGACTGTATGCTTTAAACTTACGAATTCGACGAATTTCAGGATAAAATTGGGTTGTTTGAATAAATCCCCGATGCTGTTCGCCATTATGTGGTGTTAAAAATATAGTAAATGACAAAATTGTTTATGATTAAAAGTCAAAAAGTTGAGCCTACTTTTAATAGTAATAAAGATTATTTTCTAAACTATTCTCTTTTGGGAATTTGTGAAAAGACGGATATTCGACCGGATATCCGGTTATCCGGCATATCTATCCGGCGATTATGGTTATAATTTCTGAAGTGATACCCTATATTGCCACATTATTGAAATTAATAAGAAAGCTGATAAGATATGAGATAATTTTATAGCGAATTTTAAAAATTTAGTA